TTTGCAAATGTGCTCTGCTCTGTGAGTCTGGGGGTGCCGCTCACTCAGTGGTAGAGCCCTTGACTAGTGCACTAGAATCCTGGGTCGATCTCTAGCACTGCAAACAAACAAACAAAAGATTCTTTTGCTTTCTTTTGCTCTTATTTATTATGATTCCTTAGTTCATGAGGAGACAGGGCTTTTAAGAGAGGTAATTGAAGTCAAACAAAGTCATGTGAGTGGACACTAATCCATTGTGGCTAGTGTCCTTGTGTGAGGTGATGAAGACATTCACAGAAGGAAGATTATAAACAGGGTATGGCTATGTACAAGCCAGGGAAAGATGTCTCACAGGACTGACCCTGGGGACTTGAGCTCCGACCTCTAACCTTCAGAATTGTGGGAAAGCACATTTCTGCTTGTTTGCTTTTCTTCTTCCCTCCTTCCTTCCTTCCTTCTTTCCTTCCTCCCTCCCTCCCTCCCTCCCTCCCTCCCTCCTTTCCTTCCTTCCTTCCTTCCTTCGTCTCTCTTTCTTCTTTCTTTCTTTCTTTTTTTCTTGTGGCAGTGCTGGGACTTGAACTCAAGGCCTGGCCACTGCCCCTTAGCTTTTTCCCTCTAGGCTGGCACTCTACCACTTGAACCACAGCTCTACTTCTGTCTTTTTGTGTGTGTGTGGTTAAATGAGGATAAGAGTTTCTAGGATTTGTCTGCTCGGTCTGGTTTCAAACCTGGATCCTCAGATCTTGGTCTCTTGAATAGCTAGAACTACAGGCATGAGCCACCTGCACCTGCCTTCTGCACCTGAAGTGGTACTGAAATGGGTTTTTCTGTGAAGGCAAATCACCAGCAGCATTAGGGATGATGGCTGACAGCTTGTCTTCTTGTGCCATTTCAGAGTTGCTTTTGTCAGAAACAGGAAAGAAGGATATAAAAGAGAAAGGACAGCATGGGGATGAGGAGGAGGGATATAGGGTGGGGGGTTGGTCCTGTTTTTCTTTTCTTTCTAATTCTGTAGTGGGCACATTACAGTCACCCAGGGTTGAACACACAGGGTGGGTCGGGAAGATGCATTGAGTTTAGTTAATGAGGAGCCAGGGAGCCGGCTGTGTTATCTCAGTGGTAGATGGGCTGCCTACTGAGCATTTCTTAGGTTATTCAGCTGATGCTATGGCATATATCTCAGCAGTGGCCTTTGGAGCATGCTCAGTGTGGCAGAGGTGAGGAGGAGGTGGGGGAGGCAGAAGGATTCATCTTTCTGGTAAAAGATTCAGTATAATCGAGTGACTGTAGGAGGTTTCCAGTGGAAGAGACATTTAGTGTGTCTCAGCTCTAGAGAAATTTTTCCCAGTCCAAGATGACTAAAACTGGGGAGATGTCACAATGTCCTACTGAGTGACTGTGGTAAGAGGGTGGAGGTAGGTAGTTTATTTACAGAGACTTTGGTTGAAATGAACTTTGATGTCTTTACTGGTATATGTGATTTTTCTGATAACACTGTCCCAAATTTTAGTTCCTCCATCTTACGCAATGGAGAAAGACAGAGGCAGAGACAGAAACAGAGAGAACTCTCAAGGGAGGTCTTTGATGGCTATGAAAGTGGCTAAGCCAGGAAGCTTGAGCTTCTAGACTATTCACTTGTTTAAAAATTATTGTTATCAGGCTGGGAAGGTGGCTCAGTGCTTGCCTTGCATGCATGAGGCCCTGGGTTCAATTCCTCAGTACCACATAAGCAGAAAAAGCCAGAAGCAGTGCTGTGGCTCTAGTGGTAGAGTGCTAGCCTTGAGCTAAAGAGCTGAGGGACAGCGTTCAGGCCCCACGACACACACACACACACACACACACACACACACACACACACACACACGGCTATCATTATTACTTTGAGATGGGACACCAAGCTGGTCTTGAATTCACAGGCTGTAGTAATCTTCCTGCATTAGTTCCTCCAATAGCAGGGACTACAAGCACACTGCAATGCCTAGTTTAGCCCCGCTTCCGTGTGTGTGTGTGTGTGTGTGTGTGTGTGTGTGTGTGTGTGTGTGTGTGTGTCCTTAAGCCTGAATGCCAGACCTGGGCCCTGTCCTTGAGCTTTTGTGAGCAAGACTAGCATTCTACCACTTGAGACACAGCTTGAGACACAACTTCTGGCTTTTCTGGTGTTTCATTGGAGATAAAGAGTCTCACAGATTTTCCTAAGCTGGGTGACTTTGAACTGTGAGTCTCAGATTTCAGCCTCCTAAGTAGCTAGGATGATAAGTATGAACTACCAGTAACTGGTTCCATTTTTTTTTATTTTTAAATTTAAGTTTCCTGAACTTCAAAGGTTTGTACAAGGGGGAGGGGGCTTCAATTTAACATGTCCATCTAAGTGTCCACTGCTTCCTGTTCTGTCTTTTAAATTTTTAAAATTAATTTAAATTTGAAATCATCCCAGTGTTGATGAAAAATCCTACATTTTTTTTTTAGTATGGGACCTCCCCCTTCTCCCCCCCCCCCCATGTCGCCAGATTCATTTAGGAAACCTTATTCTGTTTTCTCTCTTGCCCAGGAAAAAGTTTCTTTAAAAAAGTTCTTCTAGACTGAGGAATCCACCTCTGCTTACATCTTTTCTCCAGCTTCCTCTGACAGAAGCAAGCAGAGAATCACTACAGGTCCCATGAGAAAACCTGTAGAGAATTATTTTCCATTAAAGCAAGGATCATTGGGAAGACAGCCACTGTGCTCAAAGCAAGCGGGCTGAGTGGAACCGGGGCTTGTACTCTATGCATGGAGAAAGCAAACATCCCAGCAGGCTGGACTCAGTTCAGTAAAAACATGCCTGGCCCTGTGCATCTGTGGAATAGTCTTACAGGCTGGGCAAGCAGAGGGAAAACATGACAGGTGTCCTTAGAATCTTTTGAGTGCCATACGGAGAGCTGTGCTAAAATCTTTCCCACACATTATTTATTTCACCTAACAATCCATAAGGCTTTTATTCCAAGCGTCCCTATTTTGAGATAAGGCACCTGAAGCTCAAGGTTGCACAGTTCCCGAAGAATGAAGCTGTGGGTCCAAGTGTGTTCACTTCAGAGCAGACATGCACTGGAAACCCCAAATAAACCTGGGGAGAGAAATGCACCTGCACAGCTTAATGGACTCCACATGGGTGCGTTTCTTTAGATTTTAGTGTAGCTAAGTAGCTATCAGGCTTAGGATTTATCCCGCTTTAATATAAATTTAGATACTTTGTCTGAAATATAGCTCAGTGGGTCAAGTAAATAGACCTACTAGAAAAGTACATTCTTCATAATATTCAGTTAATACACACACACACACACACACACAATTCCATTGGTTTTCAAAGACCCAAGGTGAGAGGAACAGACAAAAATGCAGAGAGAACCATGTAAATTGATGGATAATGATGGCAGGGGGGACATTTGATACATCGTACTTATTGTACTTATAAACTTATATGTTGAATCGAAACTTTTGTACAACCACTTAAAGATAACACTAATAACAGCAATAATACAAAGATCTAATGGATTGGACTTCCTTTGGAAAGGATCCTTCACGTCCACCCCAGGGGACCACACAGAGGCAGGCAGGCACAGGAGAAAGATTAGTACAAGGTTTATTAGAGGGGCCATATTTCCCAGGAGAGGGGGCACATGGCACCAGTCCCTATCCAGGTAGCAGGAAGGTCTGGGGGCAGGAAGTGAGGCAAGTGGGAGCTCAGGTGGGTCTGGGCGGAGAGAGGGAGGGGCCAGCTGTACGGCGGGAACTCCAGGGCTGGGAGGAGCTCAGGTCTGGGTGGAGCTGAGGACCAAAGGTGGGCGTGATGCTAACACCTTTCCCCCAGTACCTATTCTTAGGAATGGGTAATTTTCTGAACTCAAACAAACAAACAACATTTTAATTTGCCTTTCTGCAGTGCTAACATCTTCAGTGAGAGTCAATTAATTGAGCCTGGACAGAAGCCCACTCACCTTGGGTACCACTGATGTATTATGCCAACATTTAGTGATGTGAACTAATGCGTTCACATCACCAACTACCCTAAGCAACTTAGACCTAGAACAGAGACTTTTTTTGGGGGGGCGGGTCTGAAACTCCTGCAAAGGATACTGCATTTTCAAATGCCTTTTCTGATCATCCATCTTTTTTACCCCGGTAAACGAGATCAGGCAAAAACTGGGGAGGGAGGTGTGACAGTCACACGGCGTTATGAGGTCAGAGGGCAGCGAGGGAGAATTCCGGTAACAAACATCCATGGGGGTGTTTGTGGATCGGGATCGAATCCAGGTCCGACCTGGGGTGAGCCCCGGTGAGGCCCCGCCACGGGAGAGCCGGGCTGGTCGCTCGCCCGGTGCCCCTGTGGGGGCGGAGCCACCAGGGCTGGACTTGGGGTGCGTGTGGGGAGAAGTGACGAGAGGGGAAAGTGGAGCTGGGTAGAGGTGCGCAGCGCGGGACCGCACCCCAACTCCGCCACCCGTGTCCGCAGGCAGCCAGGCGCCCACGCGTCCCCGCCTTACCGGGGTCGGGGAGGGGGAGGGAGTTGGGGCTCCGCCGCGGGGTCCCCGCTTTCCGCCGCGCACTCCCCGCCCCCTCTCCCGGCTGCGGCGGCGGCGCAGCGGG